AGACTTCGGTGGCAGGTCGATGATCTTTATTTCATTTCGATTTTGTCGAATTTATTTTTCATCCTCAGTGGCAGGTCGATGGAGTTCATTTGGTGCAATTCATGAAGATTATTCGAGGACCTCCATGGCAGGTCGATGGTTTTTACTTGATTTTGGTCTTGTCGAAATTGTTTTCAACTTCAGTGGCAGGTCGATGGAGTTCACTTGGACTAGTTCATGGAGTTAGGTTATTCAGATAGATGGTTTTTACTTGGCTTGGTTTTGTCGAATTTATTTTTCAACCTCAGTGGTAGGTCGATGGAGTTCACTTGGATTTGTTCACGGAGTCAGGTCATTCATTTTTCGACCTCAGTGGCAGGTCGAGAGGGTTTCAACCTCAGTGTGGCGTGAGGATATTCGGTTTTCGAGAGGATAAACAAAGTGTTGAATTTCAAATTTTGAATTGAGGGGCGACATGATGAGGTGGTTGGAGAGGTTTATCTGTGAGCGAAGAGAGCTCGAACATAGTGGTCGAGAAACAGCAGACGTGAGTTCAAATTTTTAAATTCAAGACTTCGGGGAAAGATCGAGAAAATCTATCAAAGTATCATGGAAGTCCAAGTAAGCACATCGAGAGATATCAAAGGAAGGTCGACATTGCAAAATAAAGAGCAAAAGAATCTACTCCTGGAAAAGGTTCGACCACAGTGGCGGGTCACTCAATTTTCAACCTCAGTGGTCGTTCAATTTTGGTGTTCGATCCCAGTGGTAGGTCACTCGACTTTCGACCTTAGTGGTCGTTTGGTTTTTGGTGTTCGATCCCAGTGGCAGGTCACTCGACTTTCGACCTCAGTGGTCGTTCGGTTTTTTGTGTTCGATCCAATGGGGGGTCACTCAATTTTCGACCTTCGTGGTCATGCGGCCTTTGGTGTTGGACCCCAGTGGCGAGTCACTCAATTTTCGACCTCAGTGGTCGTGCGGTCTCTGGTGTTCGACCCCAATGGCGGGTCACTTGATTTTCGACCTCAGTGGTCGTGCGGTCTTTGGTGTTCGACCCTAGTGGCGGGTCACTCGATTTTTGACCTCAGTGGTCGTTCTATTTTTGGTATTCGACCCCAGTGGTGAGTCATTCGATTTTCGACTTCAGTGGTTGTTTGGTTTTTGGTGTTCGACCCAGTGGCGAGTCACTTGGTTTTTTACCTCAGTGGTCATTCGTTGTTTATTTGGGTCGATGCTCATTTGGAGGTTTGGTGACTATTCGGTGGTCGAAGATTTATTCAAATTATAACCTCAGTGGCATGTTGACAGAAACAGCCCAAAGAGGCATTTCACTCTTGGATCGAGTCACGCTTACTCGACCAAAGTGGAGGGGAACTAGATGATGTGTGATATTATACTAGACCGACTTTAATGGATAAGAAGGATTATATTGGATAAAAAGCCCACATATGGACTAGGACACATGACATAATGAAATGGGTCAAGCTCAACTTGGGTACTAAGGTACACTCCCCCTATAAAAGGGGCTAAGATGTCTCAAAATCTCAGTCTCTCAACATTCATAGCTATACTCTTAAGATTTGGAGTTTTGGAGTGATATTGACTTACACATTGGAGGCCCGACACCGTAACCCCTCCCGGCGTTAGGTTATGTAGGTACGGAGGTCGTCCGAGTTGAAGGATCCCGGGTGAAGCCAATTTTCACCAACAGTTATAAACATATCCTACATGAGTCATAAAATAGTTTTTATTTCATAAAGTCAAATATATTTAAGGAAAATAAAAAAAAAAAATCTTTAGATCGATCAGGTGATTAAATTAGGTTACTATGCAGATTGATTTAAAAATTTCTTTTAGTTGATATTTAAAATTGTCAAAAAAAGATGGCAAAACTGAAGTTGATCCTGGGTGACCAAGTTATGAGTCACTTTAACAAGACCAAATCGATTATTGAAACTACATATAATTTTTAATATTAAAAATATTCTCCAAACAATCATATTAAGAATGCTTTTATTACAACATGTTAAATGATTGTTGAACATTTATATTATTTTATTAATACTTATGTGGAAAAAGTTATATTGCATTACAATTTTATTAATGTTAGGTAAATCCAATGTTCCCAGAAGAGAACTGTCTTAAAACCGATCAAGTTACTTATTCAATGATTTATTTATTGCATCAGAATTTAATTTATTTATTCAATGATTTATTTATCGCACCATATTTTAATTTATTTGTATTTTAATATATAGTACTTTTTATAATAAATTTAGATAAAAAATATAAATTAAATATCAGCCAATTTAAAAATTTTCAATTTTTAAACTAATTGATAAATAATTTATATATATATATCTACTTTATTTATATATATATATATTTATTTATGTTATCAATATTTTAACAAAAAACTGTATAAAAAATCCGTTGATCTTACTATTTCCACAGACATGTGTTGACTGGTTAGCCAACAAACAATTTATTTAAGTAAACCTAATTGGTCGATAATTCGATTCTCGATCCATTTGATCAAACTGTCTGGTCCGATCATGTTTTAAGATAAAAAAAAAGGATAAATCAGCTACCTAGATTACCTAAAGCGGGATTTTTTCGAGATTTGAAACTTAATCAACGATTTTCTTATTTAATTTAATACTAGTGTGTATCCCGTGCGATGCACGGTCGGGCTCTTTAATTAAAACTTTTTCTAAGACTTTATATTAAACATAGTTATTTATGTTTAACATCTCATTATTGTAAGAAAAGAAATACCAAATATGAAAAATTATATATTATTTATTTGAATATCATTAGTGTCCCCAACCAAATTAATAATATCCAACATATGATATATGATAAAATTAATTATATGATCCTCATACTTTTTGAAATATATATATATGTATATACATATTTATATTTCTAATAAACATGATACATTTAAGATCCGCATTTAAATTTGTAATTGGATATGAGATGAAAAATGAATATGTACCAAAAAAAAGTACCAAGAACCTACATAAAATGAGATTCTTTATAAACTTTAAAATATTTTGTAGTTAAGTAAATATTGACAAAAAAAAATCATCAATTAAATTGAACTATTCGAATATAAAAAATAATTTATGATATCACTGACCATATTTATCCGTCGTTTTTAAAGATATCATTGACCATATTTTTATGAATTAAGGTTTACAAAATATTTTTTTCAAAATAACATTTTTTTTAATTTGAATTTGACTTTTTAATCCAGCCGCCATTTTTCACAAAAAATAAAAATAGTATTTCGGGAAATTTTAGACATGAAAATCAAATAAAATTAATTTAATAGTAATCGACTAATTTAATATTATTCAAAATTGTTTGATTCGGTCATAACCAAATTTGATTGGGCTTATCAAATGAAATCAGAATTTATATCTAAAACAATATACCTTTTGTGTGATTTCCCACAACAAAAATGATCGTGCTTATCACCTTAAACCCGATCCAAACTATTTTAGATTTTAAATATATAGTAATCAAATAATAGATGGGATCTACAATAAACTTAAACCAAATAACAGTTGAAATTTTAAATAAATTTTAAGAAATATTTCTTAAAATATTATTTTATATAGTTGGATAATCATTTGATTTCGTTCTAAGCCAAAATGATTAGGCTTATCATATTATCATTTTAAGTTTTGCTTAATCTGCTTTAGTTTTTGAATTTTGCAGTTATCTAATGTTAACAGATTTTAGAGTTTTGGATAGTGTAGATTCAAACAATCACAAAAAAATTGGTATATAATGTAAACTCAAATTCATTTTAATGTTATATATCGTATTAATTTTAATTTATGGTGATGTAAAAATTGTATTACGCATGTATTGAATTATAGGTTGTCTTTTTTTTTAAGTATTATTCATGATATCAACAGCAGTTGTGATTTTATTGCCTCGCGGATTTGTAAATATTAATTCTAACTTTATATAGAAACATGATTTGTAAATTAAATCAGATTTTTAAATCTTATTCTAAATTATTGAAAATTTATTAGTTGTATAGTCGATTTATAAATTATATCTGTTAATTATGATTCTATTTCCAAAATGATTTGTAAATCAAATCGAATTTGTAAATCTTAATTATTATTTTTTACAGAAATCTTAATCATTATTTTTGTACAGACATGATTTGTAAACCAAAACGAATTTGTAAATCTTATCTTATGATGAATTATTGAAAATTGATCACATGAATTAAAAAAAAAAAACACAAATTAGTAAATATGAAAAAGATTTTCAGGTGAATACGAAAATTAGAAAAGAATTACAAAACTGAATAAATTTTTAGTTGAAGTTGAATAAACAAAACTTGATTTGAATATGGAACAAAACGTTGTAGAAAGCCATTGATTTTTTTTTTATTTTTTTTTATTAGTTGCAATTTATCTCAATGATATGTGAATTGGAAATAAAAAAATCACATTTTGACAGATGGTTGGATGTATGTCGTGATTGTATTTATTGTGGCTGGGTGTAAACAATTATATTTAATTTAAGTTTCCATTATTAATGATTCGAATTGTATTAATATTATCCAATTATTTACCATACCATTTAATTTACCATACGTGAAGATTATCCAATTATATGAATATTATCCGATTGTTTACCATATAACCTATCAATTAACAATATCAGGTTTTTTTACCAAAATCTTATCATCTTAGTTAATAATATCTGGTATCTAATTTAAACAAATTGCATGGGCGGATTTCAAACAAATTGCATGGGTGAATTATTTTAAACAAAATGTATGAGCGGGAAAAAGCAAACAAAAATTGCACACAATCTAAATATGCTTTGGTACTTAAGTCCCAAACTTTAAATCAATGTCGAGACATTAAATAAAAAGAGACAAAAAAAAGCACAATTATGCCTGAAAAAAAAAAGAAATTGAAAATTACTTCACACAGTCAAAAGTCTAAATGACAATAACAATAGCAATAATAACAAAAAAAACCTCAAATTATCACCAACGTCCGCCCCGCGTGATCCCCGCCCATTGCCGCCGTTGTCGCCGTCTTGCTTCCCCTCGGCGGCCTACCCCCAACCGCCACCGCCACCGCCACCGCACCTCCTTCCGCTCTAGCCGACATGAACCTCACCAGCTGCGGCCCCACACTCACCGCCTTTCCCTGTCGGCAGCTCATCATCAGCAGCCCACCTCCTCCACCTTTTCTCTTCCCCACGCCGCCGTCCCCCTCCTCCTGCCCTGCCACCCTACGCCGGTGGAACCCCCCCTCTTCCCGTCTCCGACGCCGACACCGATAAGTTGGACACGCTGCCCTGTCGAACCCGTGCGCCATCGTCACGTTCCAATCCACGCTCACCTCGCTCGGCGCATAGCACTCCGTCCCCGCCACGCTCGGAGTCGCTGGAGGCTCCTCGTCCACGATCCTTCTATTGCCGACGGCTAACCTCCGCGCCCCGAATATCTGCGCATCGTCCAACGAATCCCTCCGCTTGTACGTCGGGTACAACGTCGTTTGTGTCGAGAAACTCTCCATCTCGAACAAATCCGAGCTCGTGTCACTCCCCATGTTGTCGTCCGTGCTCGCCACCATCACCCGCCCGATCGGACTCCTCGTCGTCGCTCACCGGCGACACCACGTCACCGAATTCCATCTCGCGTCCACCTAGTCGTCCATGTCGGCGTCAATATTCCCGATGATCGCCTGGAACTCATCCTCGGGCATGCGGAACCCAGATTCTCCAACGACTCGACATGCTCCTCCTGACTGTTATTGTCGTCGTCGTTCATCGAGCATGGAGAAGACTCGGCAGAGCTCCGGCGTGCCCATGTCTTGATGTGAAACTTAGTTGAGAGAATTTGTTTGGATTTAATCGGTCCGCCGCACGTGACGCTACCTCCGGCTCGATGCCTTCTTCGGCTTCATCGCTGCACTTAAGCCGCTTACGGAGCAGATGTCAGTTTCTCTTGCTTCCATTACGAAGAGAAAAAAGAGAGACAATTTTTTTCTAAAGATAATGAACATATCCTTATATGAAATTTAAGATAAAGAAAAGAATCCCATATAATCTGAACAAACAATTCCATTCAAAAAATTTCCATCCTATAAAAAATAACAATAAACAAAAATTAGGGATATAATACAAATCAAATATCACCAATAAAGAGCAACGAAATCATATCCTAAAAAGAAGGAGTGAAAAATGGGGTAATCTAACTTCAATTTTGGAATCATAGGCGGGAATATAAAAAAATTACAAAAAAATTGACCGAAAATGAAATCGAAACGGGAAATCAAAGCGGGAAAATTAAAGAATTTTTTTTGAGTTTTTCAAATATTTTTTCTTAACCGTATTTTATTGTAATAGAATAGATAGATATTAACCAAAAACGCCTTTCTAGAAAACCGAAAAAACTTCGATTAAAATACATTTTTCCCTTTTCATTTTCCCCACTAAATTGCCGTGGCCTTTCAATTGTCACTATTTTGTTGTCTTTTGCTTTCATTCTTCTTGGGGAACAATTTGATTTTATTTTTCACTGACCTGCTCATCGGAAAACAAGTTCCATCGCTACAAAAAATTTGCGGCTGTAGACAATCCGTTATGGGTCAGATTCAGTATTCTGATAAATACTTTGATGATACCTACGAGTACAGGTGAGTTTATTTCTTCCA